AGACAGGAGACAATAACTACGTTTTTGCTTTTTTTTTTGTCAACTTGTTATGGAAACCTGTCCCCACTTCTGGGATTCTTCTTGGATTGATTTTTTTATGGTTTTTTTATTAACTTGTTCAGGAAAACTGTCCCCACTTCTGGGATACTTCTTGGATTGATTTTTTTATTTTCAGCCTGTCAAGTGCCATCAATCCGGTCATGAATTCATACTGAACTCAAGATAATTAATTCAATAATCAAGCATAATAGTATAATACAACTTTTTTACGGGAAAAAACTGCATATCATTATTACTTTGCTATTCTTAATTATATTAATCACTTTAGTTGCAAATATTTCCATGGTGCCTTACTTTCGGTGAAATCGTTTTTCCCTTGCCATATTTCGGCGACTTAATTGTTCACATCGATCCCTTCCGAATTTTACATTTATACATCACATAGACTCGGAGTATTCGAGTTTGTTAATCAACAGGGTATGTCCTTCTCTAATACTGTAACGTGATTATGATAATTAACAAGGATTATAAATATGATATATTTTGCGAGTACAGGTTCAAACCTTTCGTAGAATTGAGATTGGAAGTGTTCAAAGTGGAAATAAATTTTTGTTTTCTTTTGTTACTATTTTAGGATAAAGTTATTTTGTTTGATCCTTTTGTATAGGCCAGGCACGTAATAATTTTCCTGAAAATTAAGGATCCTAGCCTTTTTGGGGTCAACTGCGACAAACGGAAAAATTATTTTATAATGAGCTAGCAAGAATCACGTTTCTTAATTGCTGAAGAATTCATACTGAGGTCTCGCTAATATTTTATTACTCTCCTATGCTTAGTCCACTTAAGATTGATAAATGATTTTCCTCAAAAAAGGTTGATGAATGATAAATCACTTTAATTGCTCACAATTTCTTCAATGGTAGCTTTGAATTGCATGTTGCCTGCAATGACTTTTTGCACTATCACCATATATTTTTTTATTAAAAAAAAGTAAAAATTAAGACATTTTAATTGATAGATGATAATCACTTTATTACTTTCAATTTTTTCAATTACCAGCCTTGAATTGCATGTAGTCTACAATTACTTTTTGCACCATCACCGTATATTCTTTGATTGAAAATAATAATAATAAAGATTAAGATATTTTATTATTAAAAATATCAAAATTATTTGTAATATTATTTAAATATTTTTTTATAATTTTTATGTATTAATTTATTAAAATTTTAAAATTTTTCATTAATACTATTTTTAACATTTTAATTATTAAGAGATCTTAATTTTCCACAATCTCTTTCTACTATACTCCTTTTTCAGGGGGTTAAATTCAAACCGACACCGCCGACCCCCATTCCTGGCTCTGTCCGCGCAGACCGTGCAATCAAGTATATGAGCTTATTTTATACAATAAATGTGAAGTTGGCTAGGGCATAGCTAGTTGTTGTAAGTCAATTTTCAAACTAGAGAAATGATTTGGAGCTAGCCCTACTAAATTATGAAGAACTTCTTTCATTAAACCTTTATTTTTTCTTTTTCTTTTTTTTACAAGACAAGGTAACTAATTAGAATCTTTACAGGCGAGAAGAACAGAAAAAGAGAATGAAGGTTTAAATCTTCGACCATATAATTGAAGAAATGTCTTTATACCAATAATTTAGTCGATTACTCTATTGGTCTTCCCCTCTTTCATTCTTATATTAGTAAATAGTCTAACGCTTTGCCGACTTGAAAAGAATATTACTTTTTGGTCTATTTTACTCCTCATTTTTTTTAGGAAAAATAATTTAATTTACTTTTCAATTTCAATTTTTAAAATAATATAATTTTTATTTAAAAAACTAAAATATTATAGTATTTTTAGTAAAAATTAATTAAAATAATATAAATTTAAAATATTTGTTATCTTATTTTTTACAATACTGTTAACAAACATTTTTTCTTATATAATACTATGAATTTTTCTAGGTTTTCATTATTAATAATATATTAACTCATGATAAACGCTAAACTCTATGGTTAGATTTTATCATAGGTATTTAAATTATTACCAAAATGTCTGGGACTCTGGGAAGTGTTGCGCACAATTAGTACCCAACTACTGCCAATTTCCTTCTGAGAAAATTACTGTTAAAATGGCTTAAGAAAGAAATGTGGGTAAAATAACTTTTGTTTTCACTCATATCCTCTACAAATTCACAATTATAATTGGAAAGTCCGTGATATACATTACTCAATGTTTGCCTTTAACAAAGCTGCCAAACCTGTGAATGGGTCTCCAGACCTAATGGTTTATTTCAATTTTTAATTATTTGGGTATAATTAGTTGATAATTTAACTCTCGTCAGCTACTTAAAACGAAGTTCCTCGTTCTCAAGTTCTCTCATGTTCAAAAAAAAAAAAAATGATGCCAAACCTAGAATTAACCACTGAAATGGCATAGGAAATCAGCCTTTGCTTTAATTCATATCCATGACAGTGATTTTTTTTTTTGATAGAAAAGATAATTAAAAGTTAAAAATTAAATTAATAATTTGTTACTGATTAAGGATGTAATTCATCAATAATTTTATTAGACTGTAGTAATCACCAATAAAACGCAATAGAAGAATGCGGATGGCAGTGGTTGCTTGGGAAGTTTATGAACTACAAAGCTGAATCACATGGTCAAAAGTCAGATGCACTAGCACCAACCAAAGTTGAATTCATTGTGTTCACGTGGCCTTTTTGTACGTATTGATGTATAAATTCATATTTAATTGATTACCAAAACACTACTTTCTTTCTTCCAGAGCCATAGATTTTTTTTATATTTTATT